GTAACTGTTGGGGTTTCACTTTGCAAATGTTAGGAGGGTCAGATGTGGTTGTTGATTTTGTACTCAGGGAAGAGGTAGTGTATGTACCAGCTCCTATATTTGAGTGAGGGATAAAATAAGGAGAAAACATAGTGTATTAAAAAGTGCTGCAGTTCTTCAGTTAAAAACTAGAAACCAGAACTGATAAAGTACTGTTATACTATTCATGCCTACTAAGGATTTATATCTTGCCTCAAGTCTCCAAAGCCACATCATCAATCACCAAAAGTAAACAACACTACAAAATCCAAGAAATACTAAATATTGCTATTATTTAATTTTTTATCTAAAGGACCAGGCACAGATAAAATAGGTTCAGTTGATATATTTGAATATTTTCAAAAGAAGTATATAATAAATTTTTATAATATAAACTTTGAATTTGCTTTAAGATAGAATTCTGATAATATCAAAATAATTGTAGAAGTTGGGAATTAGCTACTTCACTAGAAAACCAATGATTTCTTTAAATTAGATGCTGACCCTAAAAATTAAAAAAACTACATATATATATTTCTGTGTTGTGCATGAATTGGTCTAATTAATTGTACATAGGTTAAAAAAACCCAGTTCTTATTTGCAAACCTGAGAGGCACTTAATCTGATTTGCAAGCCATAAATATGTACTTGCCAAACTAAAACTGGAAATAAAGGAAGAGGTGAGTGGTAAGAAGCTACAAAAGAAGGACCTCACCATGTATTTTTTAATAAAATTTGAGATATTTAAATGAAAGGCACAAATCCCTTGGTACCTGATAATGATGTTGTAGGAGTGACTGAGGCTACAGGAATCTGAGGCATTGACGCACTAGAGAATGAATTGTAATTAGCAGTGTTTGGCCCACTGGCACTGCTGTTGACCCCACTGGCAATTGGAGGTGCTGTAGAAGTTACTGGAGATCCCTTTTCTCTTACATTTGGAGAATTCTCCCATGCTTTGCGTGCAGATTCCATCTGCAATAAAACATTTTTTTAAGAAAACAGAACAAAATTAATGTTAACATAAAAAAGTGTATTTACATATGCATCCATAGTTATTTTAAATTTCAAATCTTTTTCAGAGCCAAAAAAGAAAAAGATTAATAACTACCCTAAGGCTTTCAAAATTTCTGTCACTATTATTATTAAAATGGAGAAATGCTTACCTCTCGCTGATGGGCTTGTAAACAGGCAAATATAGTATTATTAAATTTGTAACACAAAATCTATTCATTAACAATGATTTCAATAACTAATGGCCAAGCCCAGATAAAAGATTGAGCTTATATATTGAAATTCTTTTTTGAAAGGAATCTGTAACAGATTTTTATATAATAAACTCTGAATTTTCTTTAAGACATAATTTTGACTTCTGGTAATATACAAATAACTAGTGCAATCCAAAGGTCAGGTGTTGGTGTTTTTAAAAAATTCTTTACTATCTCTTTTTTAAAAATTTTATCTTTTTCTTTATTATATTGGTGTTATAATACCTGTCATTTTTCTTTGCTATTCTTAAAACTAGCAAAATTATGTCAAAATGCAGAAAACAATATTGCAATCACTGAGAACCACTGACACTAAGTAAATTCTCTGCTGGAAGTATTTTACACATGCTGGAAAAGAGGATTAGAAATAGCTGAATTTGCAAATTCACCCTACCAGTGAGTAAGAAAACAGAAATATCACCCTCTTTTAGAATGGAATTGAGGATATGGTAGATAAGGCCCTTAGGAAATATCCAGCCCCTCCTTTATTTTTTATCTAATATTTCTCAAATGGCAAACAGACATCTTTTGTTTCCCTATGCTCATGCTTTAAAAGGCAATATAATTAAGTTTTATACTTGGCTGAAGTAGAAACATTTGTTTCACATCCATAATCACCAAACATTTCAAGAAACTATTGACATAACAATTTGTATTGTGTCTTGTTTCAGCTCTAGTTTCCTTTCTTTAGAGACACAGATTTCAAATCTATTTAGAATAGTACAGTTCAATAGGAATATGCTGTTAAGTATTTAATTTAAAATGTTCTCTCATTTACATAAAACAAAAATAAAAGAGATATAAGGAGGCCTGGTGATACCAGATGTGCTGAGCTGCCACTTTGAACCCAATGGTAGCTGTGTTGAGAGGATGTGTGGTTTGATCTAATTACCATTTATGGTCTTAGAAACGTGATGGAGGGTTGCTATGAACTGGAACAGACTGTCAATTACATCTCTGTCTCTGTGTCTTCCCAGTCAAGATATTGGACTGAGAAGAAAATCTAAGGTAATAGGAAAAGTTCAACAGTGATGACTTAAATGAGAATACTTTTCATGAGTAATGCTGGGAATATCATTCTTAGGGAATTCAGAAATGAATTTTTCATCTTTGTAGTACATCTGAAAGCTTAATAGTAAGAGCGTGAGAAATATTCACTCATTCCAATTTGCTTCATTTCTGACACACACTGCACATCATCTCATCTTTTCTTCTTCATCATCATGATTTCAGACATATTTTAAAAGAAAAAAGTTTTATGGGATGAACCCACCCACCCCCAAATTTAGAAAGTTAACCCTACTTTAACCTTCCTGTACAAGATTTCTGAAAGAGCTCTGGTGTGTGGCACGATGGGTAAGCACTAAACTGGTAACCAACTGAAGGGGTGGCAGTTAAGAACCCATCCAATGGTTCTGCAGGAAGAGAACAGGCCAGAAAGCCCTAGAGGGACTTCTGGTGGCCCAAAAGGGTAAGAAGTTGTGCTGTCAACCCAAAGGCAGGCTGCTGTAAGGAGAAAGATCTGCAATCTCCTCCCATATAATTTACAGCCTCTTGATATGCACTGGAGGGTCAGCTATGACCCAATGGCAATGTGAGAGAAGAAACCCTATGAATCAAGTCTACTCTGTCAGATCTGACCACTATGAGTTGGAGTCTACAGCATGTAAGATCATGATCTGACATTTTTATAGTTTGAGTACAGGTTATCTTTTATAGTCATTTTTATGTGTTGAAAATGATAGTTAATAAATTTTACATAATGAGGGCATATGCTTTTGTTCAACTTCATTTAAGGAAAATTAAAAAACTGTTTCTATTTTAGAAAATTCAAGGTAATAACAAAATACTATTAAACTGTACTACTCTTGGCAAAATACGCTTAACAATCAATTTAACTCATTGCTTTTGAGTTAGAAATGATTCAAAACAGACTGGCTTTCTAAGGCTGTACTGCCCATCCCTTCCTCTTGAAACCATTGGTAGTGTTGTCCGCGGGGAGTTGCCCTGCTAACCCAAAGGCACACCATTAACAATGCCCATATAATACAACTTTATCTAGTTCCCAGAGATGCCAAAATAAGTAAAAATAAGGAAACCAGAGATTGTTTCTTTTTTAACAGGATATATATATTAAAAACCATCTCTATTATCAGACATAAAAAATTCATATGGAGTTGGTCATTCAAGTGAAAATAAAAAAGCAAAGGTTTACTGGGAAATGGTTTTTCACAGTAAAAGATTATGTAAGGACAGAAACTACACAAATAGGTTGTTTTTTAAATAAAAATACCAGTCACAAATTTATAAAACAACTTTTTGATTATCTACCCCCAGAGATCACCAGCAAGCTTTGCTTTTACTGTCAACTTGTACAATAGGAAGTTCTGCCATTACAGATCACATTAGTTGCTCAGATTATAAAACAAAACAAACAGCACCACGGTACTTGAAATAATCTCCCACTTAACTCCGGGTCTGCAATTTTACTAACTTACCCTAAATTCAATAACAATAACAATCTATGCTGTTGATACAGCAGTTTTATAACTCAATTGCTTCTTTTCATAACTTCTAAAATATCAAGTCACTGGTAAAAGGGATGTTTTGAAACAAAATTTAAGGTAATTCCCTTTCCTCAATTTAGTATTGTTGTTAACACATAAAATTTTAAAAATACAAAGAGTATGGTTAATTTACATAACCTTGCATGCAATAATCAAGAACTCTCAGAGCCGTATGCTGTACATACCTTGAAGGTGAGGCTGAAAGTAGTGGGAGGAACTGAAGTTAGGCTGGAGGAGCTCTGTTGTATAGTCTCCCTCTTAGGGAGGGGAAGGGTATTAGGCAAGGGCACCTGAAAGGCAGGCAACACATATCATAATCTAACTAAGTCTGCTTTAAAAGCGTCATTAAAGTCAATACTGAAGTACTCTTAAGAGTGTTATTTTTTCATTAGAGTCAAATGAACATCTAATTACTTTGAATTACATTTGGCTTATAGTACTTGGAAATTATGAATGCTTTGGATAAAACTTGGTAGAAGATTTCTACCTGTTTTTAGTCATAACAGAGTCTGTCTCAAATGCAAGTATACACTTGAAGACAATACTTCATATTTTAATGTGTATAAAGTAGGAATGCTAATAAAATCCAGATTTTTATTCAGTAGGTTTTGTTGTGGCCTGGTTCAAATAAGCTGCCATGTAATGCTATTGTTTCTGGTTCATGAAACAGATTTTAGTTTCTAAGCACTGCAATTATCACCATTTATGGGATCCACAGCTTCCATCACTTAACTAACAGGGGAAAAGTGAGAAACTGTCTTTCTTGCAATAAAGTGAATTTTCATCTAACTAGTTCAAGAAAAAAAATCCTGACGTTGAAGAAATATGGACTATTATCTCGCTTTGATACACTAAGCACATACCTTTTTGCTCTAGTAGTAAAAATGATTATAACAAAACTGTTAGAAATGTGAAGATATTAGAAACTGTCATCTCCTTCTATCCTTAAAATTTATAGTCTATGGTCTTGAGATTTTATTATGTTTAATTCTGATCATTTCTTCACCTTCTTAAAGATAAGATGACACAGCTGCTTGAGGGTTTAAAGGCTACTGTGATACTACAGACACTAGTGGATATTGTGATATGAAGGACCACATAATGAAAATTCTACATATTTTGCCTTAACTAGTCCTCAGTGTACAAATCAGTGATTACATTTTGTTATTGTTGTTAGGTGCCACCAAGCTGGGTATGACCAAAGCAACCCCAGGAACAACAAAGCTCAACCCTGTCCTACACCTCCTCACCATGTCTAAGACACTAGAGTTCACTGGCATAGTCCCTGTCAATCCACCCCCATCAGGGTGTTCCTATCTTTTGCTGATCCTCTAGCTTTGCAAAGATGATGTCCTTTTCCAAGGACTGTCCTCTCTGAACAACACACCATACTACTATGTGAGATGAAGCTTCGCCATCCTCGCCTTCAAGGACCACTCTGGTATGCACTTTCTCTAAAACATATTTATTTGGATCTGAAGTGTTAATTAAATCAATAACCACTAAGTCCACTTGGTGGAATTATGGCATCTGGTTGTCCTCTTCCCCCATAACCCCACTCTGATTCAATCTCTAGCTAAGCCTTTTCTCCCTTATTCATAGTCAAAAAGAGTGCTTCATCCTCTGAAAACTTCACCAGTTTCAATCTCAAAATTAAATGGTTTGGAATTTTTCTTTTAACTTGTTTGAATATTAGTATCAAAAACAGTACCATCCTGTAGTGTTCCTGTGTACCAACTGTGACACTTTTTAAGGAAAGTTGGTTTTAGCTCCCCGTTTTTAATTTATTTTATTTTCGTAAACATATACCTGTTTTGTTTAATTTGGTTGACTGTTGTGAGCTTAGCTCCCTTTTTAAGAACAGATTTTGTATATGGACCCTATTGCAGAGTCTCTTCAGACTTAGTTTCTTTGCATTTATGGCACTGGGAAAAAAATTAGTTACTACTGTGTTTCTGGCAAATTCAAGGAAATCTGTTTACCTGCCCTTCACTTTTGAGAAATGTTAATCCCTTTAAGTAAAAAATAGTTTACTGGGAATCTAAAATATTGGTTAAAGAAAATGTATTTTTCTTGTACTCAGTGTGGAATGACTCACTACAAATTTATTCACTGTCTTAAAAAAACAAAATGCTCAAACATATTTCTTTTTTGGCAGTCCATGGGGCATCTAGTAATATTCTTCAATGCCACAACTTAAAGGTTTAGATTACATAGAAATGACTAAAATGTTTACAGTCAATAACTTTTAAAGGTACGATAATAACAACAATATTTTATTCCTTAATCTGATGCCATAAATTTTATTTCAGATGACAGTTTTGCAGAAAGCATCATATCTTACTTACTGAGATTTTACTGATGCAGAAATTGGTACTCGAGATCAGTAAGAAGTCTTTGACCTTCCAAAGATTTCCATTACTTAACAATAATTTAAACCATTATCATGAAAGGAGTAGGGATATATATTGAGCATATAGTACATAAAGTTCGGTAACACTTTGATGAGTTTCCTTAATTTTAGAGAGCTCTGCTATCACTAAGTACCTAGCTTTCCCCCTTCTCTTTCTTTTCTAAAACTACACATTAAAAGCTCTTGGCTGGGCTTTTATAAAAGTTCAATTAAGCGGCCCGTGGCACCAGAGTAGGGTTGTTAACCAAAAGGTCAGAAGTTCAAGCCCACCAGAAGTTCCACAGAAGAAAAGAGGAGGCCATCTCCCTCCTTACTACTCAGACCATGACAACTCGATGGAAGAGTTGATAGGAGTTGGAACTGACTCAAAAGCAGTGTGTCTGAAATATTTTGGGAAAGTTTCTTCATTCCCAAATATTTTTATATACCCTGAGGGAAACAGAACTGATTTGTACACCCAAGGTCAAAGAAAGTGTTACTCATAATAGTAAGAACAGCAAACAGTTTAAATGTCCATCAACAAACAAATGGACTGAGAAATTTGGGTACATTCACACGATGGAATACTATCCCACACTCAGAGGCAACAATTTTGAAAAACTCTATATAACACAGGAGAAATAAGAAAGCATCATGCTGAATGGACTAATTCTACCGCATAAGTACAAATATGGCATAAGACCATTATTGTAAAAATAGAAGAATAAGTAGTAATATGTGTATTGATGTCCAAAGAGGGTATGTATACTGCAAACAGATGACGGAGAGAACTATTTAAAAGGGATATATGATTAGGTATTATTGTCTTGACAGGAGTCCAGAATGAAAGCTGCATAGTGGACTGGACTTGGGGGGAGGGACTGTGTTAACAATGCAAGCATTTTTCTTTTACTTTTCAAAGAGAAGAGCAAATTGAGGGGGAGGTTGGGCAGG